GTATTTCATTTTGAAGAGTTTTTCGAATTGTACAGATGTATATATATAGTACTCGATCTTTGCTATCCAAACATATAATTGAATTAAATTAATGTTGTGTAGTTTTAATACACGACTCAAAAGAAAAAAGTGGGAGCAGACTTTTGATGCGGACTATAGTAAGTATCCACACATTGGAACTCAGTATGATTCTATGATATAAGAGTAACTTTCGCCGAAGAGGAATTCAACTTATTTTTAAAAGGAAGTTCGTTTGTTTAAAAAAAAAAAAGAAATACAATGTTTAATCTAGAATCTTTCTCTAAGCAAAATTCATTGTCGACTTGATATGAATAAAAAACAGTCAATTGAATACATCTATCATAAATCATAATTTTAAAAAAAGAATATTTATTACGATTATTAATAAATTACAAAAGATTTTAGATCTCTGCGAGTTTCTTTCATAGTCGAATAATTTGAATGAGCTATTTTAAACTTCATACTTATATTTTTTAACGAATTTACTTATCTAGACTCAAGATCAAACAATTCATTTCTTATTTTACGTAACTTCTACGATACTTTTCAAAGATTTAATATATAAAAAGAAAAGAATGTCTTCTTCTTTCATTAGTTATCTTATCTTGACTTGAACAATCATCTAATAATACTTAGGGCAGTCAAAAAGTATTGACAGCCATTCTTTGTTTTCGTATAGAAAGCTTGAGGAAATTTTCTGTTTTATATGCAGCGATAGTAAAAATAATGCTGTACTTTTCTATGGTATTTCATCATTCTTCAACTAATATCATAAATAACAAAATTTCTCTAAGATGTGTTCTTCTATTATATGTGATAGTTATACTAATACCTAAAAACTAAAGCTGAGTTGGTATTCAATGAATAAATTTTGATCGAAACAAGATAGAGAGTTGTGGTTTTCATTTTTCGAAAGATGAGATGAATGTGCATCAAATTATATATTATAGAATTTTTTAACATGATTATTTTAAGACCTTCAATCGACCTCTTTGAAAACAAACCTATTTTGTGAGATGTTTACAAAGAACTTTGAATTGTCAGGTGAGAATTCAAACTGCTAAAGGAAAATGTAAAACATTGCACAATGTTCAGATGTTTATAATTAACTGTTCAGAACTTATAGGTATTCTAGTCGTAGCTCTGAATGATTTCTCTAATTTTTTTTTTAATGTTTCTTTTTTGGATAATAAATTTTTTCGACCCTTATCAAATTAATTAAACAAACTTTAGACAACATACTAGGCAAATTTATAATATACGATTCGATGTATCTTTATCTCATCTTTCGAAAAATGGAAACGACAATTCTCTATCTTGTTTCGATAAAAATTTATTCATAGAATACTAACTCAGCTTTGTTTTTTAGGCATTAGTATAACTATCACATGTAATAGAACAACAACTCTGATAGAAATTTTATTATTATGATATTAGTTGACGAATGATGAAATACCATAGAACACTACTTTTATTATGACTGCATATAGAAAAAGAAATTTTGCTCAAGCTTTCTATACGAAAATAAGATATGACTATTAGTACTTTTGGATGAACCTAAGTAATATAAATGATACTAGAGAAAGACAAAAAGAACGATTTCATTTTTCTTTTAAATAAGAAAAGAAATTTATTAACAAAAATAGATTGAAATCATATTTAAAATGTCTTTTCAATTATATATTGCAGGTTTTATATTTTTAATAATAGGCGTTAAATTCGATTAGTTCTCAATAAACTTGTTCTGTGACAAAACAGAAATAGTTTTGCTTTTTCTAAAACCATGCTGATACAACAAAAAGAAAAATGAACCTACAAATGTTCTATAAAATATAATTCTAAAAATATTTTTAAATGAAAATTCAACAGCTCTCTAACTAATAGATTTAATCATAATTGAAATAATTATCGTATATTCTGTCAATACAATATATGCTAATGTTGAAAAAAACGTATAATTGAATTTTCTACAAGTATTATTGATGCTAAGCACATCTGAATTTATGGACGTCGAATATCTGCTTTTAATTTATCTCTATTTCTATATATCATTCGACTTGGTATTATTAGAATTGTAGTAGGAAATCAATATAGATCAACAAGAAGTGTAATTTATCTTAGATTATATTAATGCGTCATATTTAGAATGAGTAACCCATACCTTCTCATTTGCGAACATAATATTGAAATTTAAAAATCGGTTAATATTGTAGAATTCCTATATATGCCTCAGTTCAACAGAGAATTTAGTTGACTTTGGAATGTACAAATTAATTTTAAAAAATTCATAATGGAAATAAAGATTCATAAGAAACAAAGCAAAATAATTGATTTAGATAGAAGTTTACAAAATCGAATTCGTGCTTTCAATTGCATTAGCGATTAAAACTGTTCACTATACTCTTAATCATAATTATATGACACACATGTGATTGTATGCACTGCTGTTTTTTAAAATCAATCACACCAATCTTCTGCTCTCATAAACAAATAATTACTTGATAAAAAACAAGAATTTTTTCAAAAATTCCCATCAATCATTCAATTTCACTATGTCCCAAGCATTAAAAAAATATTGTCGAGATATTTTATTCTATGAAACAAAATTAATATAGTCAACTTATTTTTGTTTAAATATAGAATAACATTCAAAATACATCTCTTTTATCAAGTAAACTTCAAAAAATACAATTCAATCATATTACTAATAAACATTGTATTTTTGTTTATACATTGACCATGTCTTTAATTTCAAAGAAAATAGTAAGGATAAGTTTAAAGTGAGATTTTAGCGGCTCATCCCTACGCTCTAGTAACTGAGGTCACAGTTCATTGAGCATATATCCATAGCAACGGGAATAGATAGAGAAATACCAACGGTCATTGCTTACATTATCATAACAACCAAAGATAATATGCATCAGAGTCCTTTTCCAGAGTTTCTTAGCAATGGAAAAATGCGCTGAACAGCATTAACGACGCGCATTAGATCGTTCTAGAAAATAAAAATAGAAAAAGATGTCAAGAATTATGGATAGCAGTACATGGATTTGTCACAGCCGTAGGGAACTGCAAAATCACTTTTTTCTGGTCCCGGTCCCGGCATAGTCCCGGTAAACAGTTTCTGGTCCCGGTCCCGGTCCCGACACACTTTTTCCACTGGTCCCNTAAATCAAGGTGCAGAGTTCAAACTTGAGCTGTATTCGGTCCCATGTCCTATTGGTTTGGCAACGCACAATATAAATCAACATTTTAAATGGTAGATTTCACAGTATAATTTTGATATTCAGACAGTCTAGGATGATTGATTTTTATGATTCACTTTTTGAAGTACACATAACTCTCGGATTTAAATCCGAAGTTTCCGCATTTATTTAATCTAATTATGATTCTGGTGCTGGCTCTGTTCAATACGATTGTTGCTATCACTTCGCCAAAGTATTCCATATGGTTTGGAATCAAATATACGTGTGCACATGACTTTACATATGCAAGCAAACTTATTTTATTTTATATGACTCTTCCTACAGACGAGGACTGTGCTAATTTAACTACTAGTGAATAGTTGTATTCATTTCGATGCTATCTTTATAAATCAATATATATATATAGTATAAGTTTTATTCCAAACATGAAGAAGCCAGAATAATGCTAGTAATGAAAAACTGAATCGCTCTGAGAAGATTTATGATAGCTTCTATTTCTATGAGCCGGTTCTTTTTCGAGAACTGAGTCTTTATTGGATATGTGGCAGTTGAAACTCATAGGTTCAGGGAACTGCCAGATTTGGTATCGGCTCGTTTTTTTGGACCGGGTCACACTGACCTGGTTTTGTGAAATACGATCCGAAAGGAGTGTTGAAGCGTTTAAGGATAGAAATTTGGACCCTCCACTACAGACCGTGACAGACACTCACGTGGCCCATCACAAACCGTGACAGACATCTTAATTAATTAATAATTTAGTATTTAATTAACTAATTAACCGTCACAGACTGTGACAGAGAAACTGTAGTTCCAAAACATTAGATAAACCGTTATGCGCAAATATATCGCAAATAAATGGAACAAAACAATTTCCATTCAACTAGTAACAATAGATCCATCGTGTTTCACATTTTTAATCCCGCAAGGGATTGCGCTAACAGCTTTTTTAACAATCTCGAACCGAACCTATTCCATGTCTGTGAACTGCTTAAAAAACATTTTGAAACAGATTAGTTTCTTTAAAAAGAACTGTTGTAGCAGTTCTCAAGATCGGAACTAATATGGAACTGTCGTAGATATAGTTCTGACTCTCAAAGTTTTTATTTAAATTCTTGAAAATTCGATCATAAAATCTCTAAAATCAATATCCTACTACTTGTGGCCATATATCATAGAGAAAATTTCATAGCCTTGCATATTTTAATATATGTCAAAAAGAATTATTCATTCACTCTACTCAATTATCATTTTTAATTGAAAATAAAGTTTGAAGAAAAGTTAAAAAAAAAGCAAATATAATTACACAAGCGCAACGATTGAAGAATTTGACAAAATTTCTGTAGAAAAAGCAATAGGACTGTTCGTATAAACTGAACTTAATTAGACAAATATAGCATATTGAAAATCAATTTTACATTGTGAAAAAGATGGTTTTGTGAATCAAGTCATTGTTATATGCCAAACTATTCGGATACTTAAAGCACGTTAATATCTAGATGCATTGATATGTATATCTCTATTTAGTCAAATCATTAAAGTCTTGATGAACGTTACTTGTTCTTATCAAAAAAAAAAAAGAATGTCTTTAATAATATCCCAATGATCATAATATTTTGCAATATTTAGTCTATCTATGAACTTTTTTTTTAATTCCAAATTAAAGATAGAAGCAAAATTTAAAGTTTTAATTTATTTTTTTTTACTTTTCGAATTAAACCTATACAAATAAAAGACAGCTACCATCTACATTAATATATAGAAAAAACAAATCATCTAATTTAAAAGTATATTCCAAAGAAATATTTCATTTGATGATGTTGTTATTAATAAATCATTAGAATTATTTTTTAAAAATTTAATATTTAATACAGTATCACTGTTACCAATAAAATCCTGAAATGTTTCCTGAGTATAATCTTTTAATTGTACTAAACGATCTTTTGTACCAATTGCTATAAAACGATTTTCATTTTCATCATTTTTCATATTTGATATGTCAAAACATGAACACCATTGACTTAATGATATTGTACGAATAATTTGTTTTGTATCAAGATTATAGATTTGTATTGATTTTTCTATTCCATAACCAATATACATTAATAAATTCTGATCAATAAAACGAGCTAAACTTGGTGGATATGATTGCCAATTATTATTATGTATAGTTGTTCCATCTGGTGCAAATGATGGTGCTGAAAATGTTAACCAATCAATTAATTGACATAAATCAAATTGTTGATTTGATTTCCATAAACTAACACGTCGATCATGACTTGTTATTAACCACATATAAAAATTATTTTCTAATAATTGTTTTGAATCAATCATACAAATTGGTGCATTACCACGATGTTCATTTAACACACGTAAAACAATACCTTGAACAAGATTTGATATTGCAACAGAACCATCGGATGCACCAGATATACTTATTGTTACTACAAGAAAAAAGACAAAATTAAAACTTAATAAAAAAAAGACAAATTTTCTTATAAACGAACTATTTGATGGAACATTTATGGCAGTAATAGATGATGTATGTGGATGTAATTTAAGTACCATTTGACCATGAAGAAGATTAAAAATACGTAATGTACCATCATTATATCCAGCAACAATGGATCGAACTGTTGTTCGGATATTTTTTATTGGACTTGTTGTCCCTAATGAATGATTTGCTGGAACAATAGAATTATCCCATGATGTTAAACAGGTTACTTTCTGAATATAGAAAAATCAATAAATATGGTTATAGCGTGAGTATTTCAGAAATAGCTTATGAGAAAAAAAAATAATGGAATATCTCCATTGTATTTTAACGAAAGGATTTACTTTTTTTGTTGCCTGATGATAGAAGATAATTGCAACTTTTTACTCATAAATCGTCAGTTTATTGTATATACTTGAAATTCAGAACTCTCTACTTCAATTGAAAAGTTTTTTTTCTATTGATCCTAATGGTAAAAAGATTTTCTTATGTTCATCAACGAATGAAGAAAAAGTCGAATTGCTTCAGAACTTCAGAGCAATTTGCTGTTTGTTCTTTTTTTCTTAATATTTTGAGCTTACGTTAGTATCATTATAAGTTGATGAAAACCGAAAAAAGTTAGCTGTAGTAGACGCATAGGTTTCTCTGGAATTCACTGTATAAGTATGTGCAAGAGGATCCTGCGAAGCTTTAGAGAAGTCAAATGACTGACGAGAGAACTACTTCAATTGACACTTACCGTTTGAACTCATAACGGATCTAAAGGTAGATTTCAGTGAGATTATTAAAAGCCTAAAATGGTTCGTCCTCATGGGCTTCTATCGTTGAGTTATGATCAGTTTACTGCATTTTCGGCTCGTTTATAGGTAGTTTCCGAAAAATCATATCACGAAGTTTCAATCTAAAATTTTATCTATAGATAGATCTAATGACTCTGTGAATATTTTGCAAGTTTTACCCGAAAAGAATCTTCCTTCGTCAAGATATTGGCTTTTCGGAAGGTATATAAATACGTCGAAAATCTAATACATTTTTTACAACTTGACACCATAGATTCATAGAGATGAACTATTCAAGACATTTGCAAGTACCACTGAGATCTACCTCCAGGTTCAATATGAGTTCAAACAACGGGTGTTAGTTATGGTAGTTCCTTTGTTAATAGTCGGCAGTTAATGTTATCAGGTCACAGGGGGTCATGAAAAATGTGTGGAGTTGATTCTTTCGTGAAGGAATGACTGTTGAAGGAAAATCACGGTTTTATTAAAAACTTTCGAGATCGAGAAATTCGAATATGTAATCGATTTCTCGAAATTGTATATTTGATTGCTCGGTCAAATGTTCTAAAATAGCCTTTCCTTGTTCGAGAAATCAAGTACACAGGCTCGATTTTCTCGACTCCGAAAGACTTTAATCGAACTTAATACGAGATCGTCATTTTCCTCCAATACCTAATTCCTTGACAAAAGAATAAAATCCACGAATTTTTCGTCACCGTTAATCTTTGTCAAAAAGGTATCAAATTTTCTTTTTTTCACTAAATAATAATAGTTTTAAAGAATGTTACTAAACTTTTTGGTCATGAATAAAAACTTGCAATTTTTCTTTATCATACATTCGAAATACAGTGTAGATATTTTTCTTTTGTTCTAGGCTATTTCTGAATCATTTGGCCTATAACGAATCAACTTACTAATCCATTAGCATCAAAACGAAGAATTTCATTTCGATCTTCTAATTGAAATATTCTTATTGTACCATCAAGACTACTTGTAACTATATGAGTATCTTCAATAGGTATGACACCAGTTATATGATCTGTATGTGAAGCAACAAGACGAGTTTTGGTTCGTTCTGTTGTCCAACAAATATACCATAATGATCCACATGATGTACCAACAATACCCATATCAAATGTATTATCAAATGATCCACTAATAATTCCATCATCAAGTTGAAATTCATCTTGAATAGTTAAACCATAATTTCTATGAAAACAAAAATTTTTATTTTTCATCTTATCAAATTCTATTTCAAGATAATACTACTCACGAATCATTAGTATTTGTTTGTCCTAAGTTAACTTCAAGACTTTCTATATTCCATAATCTTAAACAACCAGTTGATGAACCTGTTAATAATTTATATTTCATTGTTGTCATATAACATATTTCATTTGAATCAGCTTTCCAATGAAGTAAACATGTATTTGTACGAGTATTCCAACATATTACAAAACCCGAATTAGTTGAACAAAGAACAAGATGAGAATTTGATATTAAATAAACACATGAAGCTATTTCACATGAATTTTTTGTATGTTCACTAATTGATAATGGAATTTGCCCATTAATAACTTGTAATCGTATATTTGTATCATTTGTTTGTTCAATAATTGTACAAAAACGTACACAACCATTTGAACAACCAAGACAAAATTCATTTGCACGCATTGAATTCCAAGCAAGACAATTCATATAAATTGATGAAGATTCATCTTGCCAATTGAGTAAATTTGTATAATCATGTGTCGACCATAAAGAAAGTAACGGTTTTCGATAATCACCCATAGTAATAAGAAAACGATCATCTCTATAAAATAATAAGAATAAAAATTAACATCGAATAATTTGTCAGATGATCTACTCCAGCTAAATTTATATGTCTCTATTGTAATTCACCTACATTTAATTTCATAACGTGCATTGATCCTCTAGAGGATCGATTTATATCGATAATCAGTATTTTTTAAAGTTTTTATAATTAATTAACATCACCAAAGGGTTTCTGAGTGCATTCATCGGTGGTTTGTATCTATATTTGGTTTACTCTTCTTTTTTTTTGTTGCTCAGAACTTTCTTTTGATTAATATATCATAAAAAGATCCCTATTAAAAATCTCGCCACATAATACCAACAACTTTATCCTACCAGATCTATTTAGAATATATTATTCTTTCAGCAAGTTTATTATTCAAATCTCAGACACTCACATCCTTCATATTTTTATTCCGCGAGGACTTCACTAACAACTTTCTTTTTTAATGGAAAATATTTCATACCTTGAAAAAGCCATTGATTGAACCGCATGAACTGATTGATGAAGATATAATTTTTGTTGAAGCATTTTTATATCCCAAATAATAATTTTTGTTTGTAATTCATCTTTATTCGTTAGTGTTGAACATTGTGCACTAACTAAGAGAGTAATATCATTTGATAAAGTTAGAGTAGAGATTTCCTCTGTATGTCCTGGTGGAGAAAAATAATTTCAATAATAATATTATAAAATAAAGATGATATTTACCGGTTAAAATTGTTTGATGATTATTGTTAAGATTTTCTACAATAACATTACAACCGACACTATAAGCAAAAAATCCACTATGTGCATGCCAAACAAGATTTTCTCTTCCATTGCCATTATAACCAATTATAGATTTAAGTTTAAGACTTTCTTGATTAACTGGTGCAATATAACGTTTCTAAAATTATCATAGAAATATTTTTTTGTTTGTTTGTAATAAGAAAGAAGATAAGGCATGTCTTTTCAATGTTAGAGGAGTAAAAAGAACAAACTGTATGTTTTTTCCAAAAGACAAAGTTTAAGACAATTTGAATATTTTATTGATTTGATTGACAATTAGACAAGTTATGTTTTCATATAAAAAGTTTCAAAAAACTTGCTATATAGTAATTAGATATTAATTTTTATCAACTACAGAAAAATATTGTAGTCATTTTCGACTATGAAGTAAACCCTTGAGAACGAGAGCATTCAACACAAGATCGTGTTTTTTTTTATTTCGCAATAACTCGTTGTACAAGGACATTTTTAAGCACTAGTTAAAGTTTAAATAATGTTTCATTAAGCATTTAGATCAAGTGAACTTTAAGGTAAAACTTCAGTACTGTGAAATATAGTGTGTTTAAAACAGCTGAATTCGTTCTATCGAATAAAATTTTTCAGCTTTGTGTAACTAACTATGAAAAGAAAGAAGATGAATAAGGTTCACTCAGCTATATTTTATTTTGAATTCATTTTCCAAAAGATATACTTGATAGCTGAAAATGACTACAAAATTTTTCTATAGTTGATAAAAATAAATATTAAATTATAATAACAAATTTTCAAAAACTTTCTATATGAAAATGCGACAGTTTCAAAGCTACATTGAAAGTCATTTTCCAAATATTTATTTTGTTGAAATTTTGACTCATAGTATAGTGCAGTATAGTCAGAATGTATTTTACCAATACTCTTAAGAATAGATCGTTTCTATAAAATTTAGTTTTGAGATTACATCTAGCATTTAAAAGACATATCTTATTTTCTTTCTTTTCACAGAGTAAAAAAAAATTGTCTTGAATTTTTACTATCAAATTTACTTTAGCTAATTGTGAATGATTAATTCGTTGAATAAAATGACGTCGAATTGTAGGTATATTATCAATTTGTTTTGTTAATAATTTTTTATTATTTATTTTTCTGAAAAATATTTCATATTTATTTTTAATAAATATAAATATTTATGTTTTACTTTTGTCCTTGAGATACATTTATATTTTTATTATCAAGTTCAGAATTTGATAATGATCGTGTTATAGCTCGAGCAGTATGACCATTCATTTGTTGAGTATATTGAAATGGTTCAGGTGGATTTCTTGGTTGTCCATTATTATCCAAATTAGATAGAATAGGTACACGTTCATGAACTTAAAAAATTTCAATGAAACAAAACAAAAATTTTCAATTAACTTAATAAAATTACTTTTTGAAGGCACAATACATTGTGTATTACTAAAAAAGAAACTATCAATAAACAATTATTTCAAAGTTAATATTTACTTTAATAATCCTGGTCGTGGTGTAGTCCAAGCAAGTACATCCCAAATAAATATTGAATCACCAATACTTACAATATGCATATTATCATCTGTAAAAAATACTTTTCGTATTGGTTCTGAATGACCAACAAAACTCTAAAGCAAAAAAAAAAAATTAAATTAAACATTATGTTTTTTCGTGTTTAATTAATTTTACTTGAAAATTTGCCTCATCCCAAAATTTAATCATATTATCGCCACCAGTAACTAAATATTGACTATCCGATGATAGAGTTAGACAATCAAATGTACGTTTATGTATATTATTTATCTAAGAATTAAAGATTAAATTTTGTTTAGCGAAATAAAATATCAATTAAAATCTTACAATATTTAAAAGTTTTCCTGTAAATGAATCAAATTTAAGTAATTTAAAATTTGTTGTTGCAACTAATAATTGTCGATTAGGTGCAAAACGTACAAATAAAGCTGCTTCTGTTGATGTTATTGATCGTCGATCATTAGTTATTAATGTACAACTACTTATATCAATTCGAAGTGTTTGATTTAAACTATTTGTTTCAACAATTGTTACAACAAATTCAGTTGGTCCAACATATGCTGTATGTTTACCATCTGGACTTATAGATAATGTTGTTATTCCTTTTCGTGATATTGATAAAGCTTTTGCTACTGTACGCTGTAATTTATAACTATCGTTAGCATCTAATAAACATAAATTGCCTTCATTATCACTGCTTATTAAACGTCCGCCATTATGAGAATAGAGTAAACCAGTAATGCATATTGTATGATGCCTAATGAAAATAAAATAACAACATACTTGTTTAATTAAAATATGAAACACGACGAACATTGTTTTATTCTATATTTTTTTTTTGGGATCCATTTCTTCACCTTCTTTTTACTTAATCCTCCAAGAAATGCAATAAGGAAGTAATTTAGATATTGTAACGATCCGTTATATATGAATATCAGTACCATCAACCAAACAATGAGCCTGGACAAGTCACTAACCACTATTTGTCTAGAATCATCCATCGGATAATATGCTAACTACATTGTGAAATAAACCTTTCTTGGAATTATTATCCATTTTTGAAAAAAGGCGTTCCGGGAGAATGCATATAACTTTTGAAGGAAAAGTGATGGAGACCTGCGGTTTTCACCATTTGAAAGAGGACATCATGGGACGTAGATATAGATCAAAATATGATTGGTCGACAATCCACCAATCGCGTGAGTCCTCGCTGGCCATTTTCACCATCAAATATTCGGCTTGTTTTCTGATCAATTTTGAATCCGAAAGTGACCATACGATAGAGAAAATTGTTGTCTTTCGATCTACACAAGGCCGACCTTTCTAGCCTGTTCCGTTAAAGAGTTATAAGGGTGTTCCTGTGACCCCTGATTTCATCNACGTAGCGATAGATCCTATGAAATTTAAAAAATCTGTAAAAACCATTGTAAGCTGATTTCGAATCCAAAAACAAATATCACCATTCGACTCAGCGTGATAAATTACCCCATTCCAGACTGTTTTCTAGGTGATCCAAGGTCAGTTGGCTGAAATCAGGGGTCTCAGGAAAACTCTTATAACTCTTGAACGGAACAAGCTAGAAAGGCGGGCTTTTCGTAGATCTAAAGAGAACAATTTTTTCTATCAAAAACGTACATTAACAATCGAGCAAAGTTGAGAAACAGCTCCAGAATACCGTGCTCAACATTTCCACCGAGAATGCATCTGATTGGTTCATTGCTGACGAATTATATTTTACCATGTGTGGATGCCCCTGGGTCTTTTCGTTCTAATGGTGAAAACCGCAGGTCGCTAGCTGCATCTGTTCAGGAGATATTCCTCCTTGAGTTTTCTCCATTTACTTCTGGAACCGACATTAGTTTTGGAATTTTAAAACTACAATAAACGCGAATATTTCGCATAATATTCAAATCTTCATTAAGTTTTGCATGCTTTCGAAAAACTTATTCTTTTGAATTCTTTTCGGCGAAAACCAATTTTTAAAACTGTTAGATTGCTGTTTTCCTATGTAACTCGACAGAGTCTATCCATCCAAAACAAAACAAAAACAATTTTCTGCTTAAATTTTGAATTTGCCGCACTTTAATAATGTTTGGATATTGAGCGAAGAACGAATAAATGAAGAAGTAGAAATACAACATTCTTTGAGTGACCAGCCGATCTAGCGCAGTTCTTCGATTCTCACACTAAAATTTTTCATAATTCATTCAAATTTATAGGCGATGAGAGATTTAATAACGAGTCGAGGTTTTCTGATGACCAGGCACTTTTTTTTAATTCTCAGAGTTCTGATGTTTTTCGAAAACAATTTCACATAAATTAAGTGAGGCTTATATCCTGCTGAAGAGCAACTCCTAAACATTAAAATTATACGATAGGAACGTGAGAAAAAAAATAAGACATTCGAATACTATTTAAATTTTCTATGACAATTAATATGGTTCCTATACTTTTTTCGAATATTCAGAAACCTTTTGGAATTTCTAAGCAATGCTCAGAAACCATACTCGATTTCTGGGAAACGCTTCGATCGTGTTCGGTACTGAGAAACTCAAAAAGGTTTCCGATGAAAAAAGCCGACAATCCAAAGGTATTCGAGGATACTCATAGGGTTTCCGTAAAGGTTTTCAAGTCAGAAGCAGTTTCCGAGGAAACTCTCCGGTTGTCGGGACTACAGCAACGTTTCTGAGAATATGGTTGAGAATTTACGAAGCCGGTCTCCTGAAAAACCATTGGCTTCGGAGGCCCGGAAACCTTTCTGGATACGCTCATTGGTTTTCAAAACAGTTTCTGAAGGGGTTTGAGTTTCCGAGAAAACGAATGTTTTTAGAGTGTATGGAGTTAGAGATAGTTAATGGGGGTTAGAAATAGATATATATAAGAAATTAAGGTCAGGGGATTAGAAATAGATAGTTATAAGGGGTTATGGATAAGTAATTATATGGGGGTTAGAAATAGATAGATATAAGGGATTAGGATTAGGTATAAGGGATGAGAGGCAAGTATAGGGGTTAGAGATAGATAGTTATAAGAGATTATGGATAGGTAGAGGGGGTTAGAAATAAATAGATATAAGGAGTTAGAAATAGACAGTTATAAGGGGTTAGGTATAGATATAGGGGCTGACCCATGTAGCCAATTTTTAGAAATAATGTACATTGCAATGCATTATTTTTCAATAGGAATGCAATGGATGCAATTACATGATAATGCAACCCAAATAATCCATTACAATGCATTTTTTATAAAAATTCATTGCAATTCATTGAAACATCAATGCATTAAAATGCATTATTTGGGTTGCATTATCATGTAGTTGTATACATTATTGTTAAAAATGCATTGTAATGCATTGAGAACGTCATACTTTATACTTTTATTCTTTTACGCTTACCTTCGTACCCTTAACTATATTTTCTTAACCTTATACCTTTAACCCTAAACACTTAATACTGTATCCTTAACCCTTAACCCTACATCCTAATTCCTATACCCTTAATACTATATCCTTAACCCCTAACCCTTAACCCTATACAATTATATCTATATCCTTAATCCTATACCCATATGTCTGTATCGCTAATACTATAACGTTAATACTATAGCCTTATTTCTATACCCTTTACGGTAAACTTTTAGCTGTAGGCAGCTATATTTTTATGATTGTTCTTGTTTGACTGTACCTAGATGTTGATTTGCTTTTGACCACATGCTATGACTTTATGTGAAGAACAAAAAAAGGAAAGAAAAGTTTTACTGTTGAATTTTATTTAAAGCATGGGTGAAAGTTATCCTGGAGAACACCGTAACTATTGGTAGTCTTTGATTTGTGTTCATGACGAACATATTAGCTTGAATTTATTCTTGATGAATCCGCTCTTCCGATAAGCTCGAGAAATTCATTGTGGTTCGAAGTGGAATGTTGGCGAAGTATAATGAAGTATCTGAGTATTATTGTGTGAAAGATGAACATAGAACCAATTCAAAGCAATTGAAGCAAGTTTTGTCATGGTAAACTTGAAGTCATTAAAAAGTTAGCGAGGATAACCTTGGTGCAGTTTTGAAATATGATAAGGCACAAAAGTTTCGCCTTTTCTTTTTCACATAAGACTTACAAGTATTCTTTATCACTAAAGCATTAGGTTTATATGTTCATGACTGCATTGGGAAGAATCTTCGTTAAAAGTTGTGGTACATAGAAAGCGGTTACGGGGCGTCATGGCTTGTATATGTCATCGTTCCTCGTATCATTGTTGTGACGTTATCGTATGTATTTTTCATCTACATTTTTATGCGTTCTGTTGTCATGCGTGAATGCATATGTTTGCCTATATAGGATGATCACCTACATTCGTTTTCTGAGTCTTTCTGCATAGATCATGAATGTTCTCTCTGGTATTTTTCAGGGAGTTCTTGGTTCTCTACTAGCTTCTGGATATCTCCTTTTGTTTCTGTACTCATGTATATTTATATACCACTCGTCTGCAACAATAAGCGTGTTATACATACGCAATGAAAATAAATTAGTCTTTCAGCACAACTGGTTAATTGTCGACAGCCTGTCTTAGGCTTTGTGGCATCTTGTGTTTGATTTTGCGAACGATCTTACTGCAATCTCCTTTCCGTACATTGTGCACTGCTAAAGTTAAGAGATCAAAATTCTAAGTTATGAATCATAATCCATTAAAGTCTTACTGAATTATAGAACTTCTGGACATGTTCTCTGGAGCTACATATAGATTTGACTGCATTACGAAACATTCAAGCATTATTTTTAATAATGTATGAAAATGGGTTCTATGGAATTTCGACAAAAAGAATTTCGCCATCTGAATTTCGACAATGAGCAATTAATTAATTAAAAAGAACTGGATGTTCTATAACAAACTATCTGTAATTTTATTTTCTTAAATTAGCATCAACAATATCCAAAATAAGAATACAGGTAAAGAAAATTTGTGAACAAAAATAATAACATAAGAGAGTAAACAAACAAAAACGAAATATCAGAAAAAAGACCTACATAATAATATTCATTTTTTTCTAATATAATTTACTATACTATCCAATCAAAACAAATTGAATATGAATAGATACATAAAAAAATTCTAAGATAAAGTAAAATAAATTAATCACCATTTTTGTCACCAACATGATAATCTTCACCTGTAATTGCAGGATTTTTTTTCTTTTTTTTTGTTATTGTTGATTCACCAACAAAGCAAGATAAGTTTGTTATGTATTTATTCAAAGTAATTCTACCAATCTGGAACAAACGCCATCAATTTTTTAGTTGTTTTGTTTTTTTTCTTGCTCGTTCATTTCCAAATGAAAACGGCATTGCCTTTAGACGATAATTACCACTTTGTATTTGTGCAGTTCGCATCATTACTAATGCCTCTTTACCTTTGAGAAAGTGGATAAAAGACCACAACTGTGGATGTCCACCAAATCGGGGTTGTAAACGATTATTGTATCCTAAATATTAATACAAAAAATATATAGTCATTGTTACTTGTATATAATATTTTGTTTTGTTTTTAATTACATCTACCAAATATACATTACCTTCGACACTATTGTTACATCTAAGGTGGATAGGTCCTAAATTCCAATATTTTATTGGTATACGATCAATCCACTGTTTTCGAAAATATTCATTAAATTCAATTAATAATATATGAGATAATGGTGGATTATCAATTAAATAATCAATAGCAGCACCAACTACAGTATTTTTTACTAATGGTAATGCCATAAAACACTTTAACCAAATTTTAACTTCTTCACTTTGTTCATACAAAGTTGATAAACCAATTTTTTGAATATTTCTATATATACTTTGGGTATAATGATGCCAACGACCATGAATCGAAATACTAGAAAACTAAAAAAAAGTAAAAAGAGAATATCAGTAATTTAACGTATAAAAAAATTACTTACTATTTTTTCTAATGTATTAATTGTTCCTATTTCAAAATCTAAATAAGCACATTTTGGTTCAAAATTAAAACCATAATCCAGTGATTTTCTTTTTAAAACTTGAAATATTTTCTCGTAAACCTCTTGGAGTCTTTTTGGTGTAAGACACCATACTAATGGAATAGCTAAATAAAAACACACTCATTTTAGGCTAAAGACAAGTAGTTTGAATAAAAAGCATATATTTACCTTCGTCGAGATGTTGACCCATTATCACATCTACCTGGGAGAACATACTTGGACGTATCTTAAACGTACCATCGATCAGCATCACATCACAACTACATAACATTTGAATTAAATATTTGGAGGACAAAATCATTAATCGTCCGCCTAATTTTTTATGTGTTGAATCATAAAGTAAAAAATTTTCTCCTTCGTGTGTTGTTGAATATAAAGCAGGAACTTCAAAATCTAATGATTTTGGATTAGGTGGCAATAATTTTGCGCGAATCTTGTAATATCTAGAAGCTAAACAAAGAAAATTATGTAAGTCTATATTTTTTCACTTTAGACATCATATTTCGTATGAAAGTCAATTGCAGAAGTTTTCTTACCTTGTGCTTGTGGTAATAAAAAGTGACATCGATCTTCATTGTTCAAATTGTTTTTTATATATTCATCTTCTATTATTCGTGTAACTGGTGTAGGTTCTAATAACACTGTGTCTTTAACATTTTGTAATACTAATAAACGTTTGGTATGATGATAATTTGGTGGATGATTATGTTCAGCATAATTTGAACCTTTATATCCATTTGAATCAATAGAGATATAAATAACTGATTGACATCCAGCATCCTTTCTTGAGCAACGAAAATTACGTTGATTTTTTTTAACAGATGGTGACATAAAATCCTAAGTAAATCCGCACATACATAGTCTATCACTGCCATGATTCGTTTTACATCATTCGATTTCATTGATTGCAACTCGCCATGATGTTAATGTATCTAATTCTTTATCATCATCAAGTACACATAAATCATCATCTTGATTATTATTATTCGAATTAAACGAAGTTGGTGGCAAATCAAGACATTGTTCAGCATCATTCGTAATAGCATTAACATGATAATTGTTTTGATGATGAGATAATTCAATTTCTGATAAAGAAGTTGGTGTTATTAATGACATATTATCTAAACATACAGTTGAATTTGATATATCTAATCACAAAGATGTAAACGTACAAAATATTTCTGGTGTTACTGTTGTTGTTGTTGTTGTTGTTAAGACTGGTTGTGTTGATGAAGATTTGTTAGATGATGGTGCACGTTGTTTTGCTACTTTCTTCTTCTTACCACATACTTTACTAACACCAGCAGATAGAACTACGTTATTTGTATTTGGCGATTGTTGTTGGCATGCTGCAGCAGAACGAGTAATGGCTACCATTTATAATAAACAATAAATTAAATAAATAGATTGAAATGGATTGTGAAATGAAGAAGTAAAGATGTTATTGTAAAATTTGATATAAGAAAAGATAGGCAGAACGAACAGCTTATATACACGTGCACCCTAGCGGATGAACTACCAGCATGTTCTCGCTCTACATCTCGACGAACAAATACATTATGAGAAATATATATATGTATATATGATTAGATCTAGGCACAACAAAGGATATACATAATAGATGACGAAAAGAATAATGATTTAGTTCATGCGCTAACAAAGATATTCGAGGGTATTAAAAGATGATTCGATGTGATAACGAAAAGAAGTACAAAATCATCATCACATACTACCAAAGAAAATATCAAGGGTATCGAATAATGACCTCGTTTCGATTAAAATACAAAGTTTTAAAAAAATTTAAAAAATTTCTACTCAAAAAGAAATAGTGATATCACGGCATTCACATCATTAGATGTCATATAAATTAAAACCTTAGTAATTATATATATACCTGTATATCGGCCAAATCAGGCAGAATAGGACATTTTTCATAATTTTTGAAACTCAAAGCAGACTTGCAAAAGTACAATAGAATATTGGCCTATAGTCTCTAGTTTATGAAACAGATGTTCATTTTTCGTTTGCGGCGTTCCAGACAGTAGGACGATCTTATGTTCTAAATGTACCGTTACATCATGAAATTCAACATATTTCTATGGTGAGAAAACATACTCGTTTTTACATAAACTGAAAGCATAGAAAAATTTTATCTTCGCAGCGATCGAGAGGTCTTTCAATGTTGTGTCTAACCATTGACAAATAAAAAAAAACAGTTCTATTTTTTTAAAGATAATTTAATTTTAAAACCTTCTATGTTTTCGATCACGTCGCTAACGAAATTGTACATGAAGTTATTTTTCTCCTAAAGTATTCGTCCGTCAAGTTTCAAACCTTCTATGAAAAGATAGTTTCATGCACCCAGTAAGTATATCGTATATTGCTTTTTTCTCTATTCTGTGTCTTTAAAGTATGTAGTTAGTCGAACTGAGTCACGTCGCTAACGATCTTTTACGAGAATTACAAATTTACAAACAATCACGTGAGATTATGCTTTCTAAGCATATCGTAGTCAGTGTTTTTTTTCGAACTTAATCATTATTGTCTGAAAAGTCTTGAAAGTTATCCAGAAATAAATTCGAAAAACAAAAAAAAATACATGTTACTTTATTTTGATGTTGCCATGGTCCCCTCAAGCACACGAGGAAAACTGATTTTCGAATTTCGCCTTGAAACTTTGCACATAGATAGGTCTTAACAAGGAGAGTTTATTCCGAAAGTTTCAAATCTTTTCGATGTTCCTATCCTATCATATGCATATGGTAATAGTTAGGATCTTATTTTGATCATATACACAGGCAGATTCGATGTTCATATTTCAGGATAGGAATGATGAAAAGATCTGAAACTTTCACAATAAGTTCTTCTTCTTGAGGCCTATTTATATGCAACGTTTCAATTTGAAATTCGAAAATCAGTTTTTCTCGTGTACCTGAGGGGGACCACGGCATTCTAATAATAAAATACCATAAAAATGCAATATCTCGTCAAGGGTAGGCTATGGGCCCGAACTATTTTCAGGATATTCATAGCTAACTAAGGACTACATGATGCATATACTCTCGACTCAAAAGCAATTGGACAGTTGGAAACGTTCCCTCTTAAGTTTTTGCTGAAGTAAATTCCTGCAAAATCTTTGCCCAATACTCAAACTTCCTGGAAATCTCCGTAACAATAATTACGGTTTTTGTAAAGAGGTTTCGAAGAAGTATGTGCTAGCTAGAAGAAGTCTTAGATTTTGTGGTAGATTAGCGAAGATTCACGTAAACAATGCGTTCTATTTGTACTCTGTCACGTCGCTAACGAATTCGTCACGTCACTAACGCCAAACAAACTCAATTTATTTAAAAATCTCAACATATTCAGGAAAAACGTTGCATAGGTATTTTGTAGCTTCAAGAGTCATCTGCAACATGTACTATCTAGTTTCCGAAAATAGTGTTTCAATTCGCAGATTTTTCAAACTGAAATGCTTGCAGTGGAAGTTGATGTTCTTTTTCGAGTCACGTCGCTAACGCTGGTTTTTTAATCATAACTCTGACAAACAAGGGTTTCTAGGGCTGATTTTTTCAGGGTATTTAGAGCAACTTAATACACGCACAACATATAAAAAACCAGCTCTAGATAAGCTAGTTATCCAGAGATATATGCTTTTCAATTTTGCGAAGTCACGTCGCTAACAAATGATTTTGCCCATATAATTGCTGCCATATACAATATTTCATTTGAATCAACTTTTCAATGTAAAAGACATGTATTTATACGACTATTCCAGCAGGTTATAAATCCAGAATTAGTTGAACAAAGAATAAGATTAGTACTTGATATTAAATAAACACATGATGTTATTTCACAGATCTTTTTTATATTTTAACTCATTGATGATCGAATTTGTCCATTAACAACTTGTAATCGTATATTTATATCATTTGTTTGTTCAATAATAGAACAAAAACGAATAATACTATTTGAATAACCAATACAAAATTCATTAGCACGCATTGGATTTCATGAAAGACAATTTCTATAAGAAAAAGAAGATTCATCTTGTCAATTTAATAAAATTGTATAATCATTTGTAGACCATAATATAAGCAAAGTTTAGAAGATAATCATCTATAGTAATAAGAAAACGATCATCTCTATAGAAAAAAACTATCGGTGGGATTCAAATACGTACTGTAAATGGAGTCCATCGGATCCAAGAATTACTGGATCCGGACCTGGTCAACACAAAATTTTCAGAGCCAGACTAGATGGATTCTATCTCTAAAATACATCATATCTTGAAAAAGCCATTGATTGAATAGCTTTTATTGATTGATGAAGGCATAACATTTTGTTTAATTGTCTTTATATCCGAAATAATAATATTTGTTTGTATTTCATCTTAATGTGATACTGCTGAACATTGTGCACTTGCTAAAACAGTAATATCATTAGATAAAGTCATTGTTGAGATTTCTTCCGTATATCCTATTTGAAAATAACAAGAATAATTTTGAATTTATCAATTCTATTTACCAGTTAAAATTGTTCGATAATCGTTATTACGATTTTCTACAATAACATTACGATCAATACTATATGCAAAAAATCTACTATGTGCATGTCAAACAAGATTTTCTCTTTCATTTCCATTGTAAACGATTATAGATTGAAGTTTAAGACTTTCTTGAGTAGTTGGTGCAATATAATGTTTCTCAAATTTTTTATAAAAATGTTTCTTTTTATGAAAAATTAAATTATTTTAGCTAATTGTGAATGATTAATTTGTTGAATAAAATACCGTCGAATTGTTGTTAGACTATCTTTTTTTATCTTAAAATCATCGACTTTTCATTTTAAAGAGAACAAAAATGATTATTTACTTATTTTCGTTGAGGTATAATTGTTGTTTTATTAATTTCACAAATTGATAATGATCATGTAATAACTCGAGCAGTATTTTCATTTGTTTGTTGAGAATATTGAAATGGTTCAGGTGAATTTCTTGCTTGCTCATTATGATCCGAAATGGATCGAATAGGTACGCGCCGAAGAACTTAAACGAAAATATTTTCATATATCTTTAAAATAAAAATTGCCTTTTGGAGGAACAATGTATTTTGTATTACTAAAAATAAATGTTTTATTAATGAATATTCAACAAATATAATTTACTTTAATAGTGCTGGCCTTAGTATCGTCCAAGCAAGTACATCCCAAATAAATATTCAATCATCAATACTCACAACATGCATATTATCATCAGTAAACAAATATTTTTCGTACGGGTTCAGAATAACCAACAAAGCTCGAAATTAATATTAAATCAAACATTGATGTTAAAAAAAATCAAATTTACTTGAAAATTCACATCATCCCAAAATTTCAGCATATCATCATCACCTCTAATTAAATATTGACTATCAGATGATAAAGATAAGCAATCACATGAACGTTTATGTACACCATTTATCTAAAATAAAGAGTCAATTTTGGTTATAAAATAAGAAAAGATCTTACGATATATAAAAATTTTCCAGTATAATGAATCAAATTTAAGTAATCAAAAATTTGTTGTTGCAACTAATAATTGTCGATTAGGTGCAAAACGTACAAATAAAGGTGATTCTGTTGATGTTATCATTTGTCGATTATTTGTAATTAATGTACAACCACTTATATAAATTCGAAGTGTTTGATTTAAACAATTTGTTTCAACAATTGTTACAACAAATTCAGTTGGTCCAACATAAGTCGTATGCTTACCATCTGAACTTATTGATAATGTTAGTATTCCTTTTGGTGATGTTGATAAAGCTTTAGCGATTGTTCGTTGTAATTTATAACTATCATTTCCATCTAATAAACATAAATTTCCTTCTTCATCACTACTTATTAAACGTCCGCCATTATGAGTATAGATTAAACCAGTAATTACCTGCCGTATGATGCCTAAAAAATTTTACTTATTATTATCTACAAACAATGTTTTATTCCGGGTGGAAGGCGAAGATCCGTATACTATGAGGCACAAAAACCACAAATTCGATCGCCTGAGAGGGTGCGGTCCATATTGGATAAAACACTATCTACAAATCTTACGTAATTTCCGCTGATATAATTGATGTATTCAATTCAAAAACTTTAATTGCTCCATTATTAAATCCACAAGCAAATGTTTGTCTATTTGGTGCATATGTAACCACAACTGGTGTTTCAAGTTTAGCTGTAAATTCTGATAATTGTTTTCCTGTAAGAAAACATCATATTCAAATTGTTTCATTTTGTCCAACACTAATCATTTGTTTTCTTGTATCATCATAATAAATATCTATTATAAATTGTGTATGTGAACGAATTAAATTCATATATTCTTTATTAGCAAGGTTTAATGTTTCAATTGAACCAAATATTGTTAAAATTAATACACGAGTTTGATCATACCATGGTTTTAAACTACACATAGGTTGATCATATTTAGCTGCAATATAAACTTGTGTAAAATCATTTAACCAAACACGAACATATCCATCATTTGAACCAGTAATACAAAAATTATTTGTACATTTTAATGTACATATACCAATCGATGGTCCATTTGCCATTGTTATTTTATCTGTTGAACCATTTGAATGTTTTGCTGGTAATAAACGATGAATTTTAGGGAGACCGAAATTTCGGCCCACGAATTTTATTAACACGTCTTTCATCATATAATAATTCAAGGATATTACCAATTTTTGATGATATATAAACAATTAATTCATTCTATTTATTATTTTATATATGTTCAAATTGTAAATCTGTATATTCTAACAATTGATATACTCATTGATTTTAAATCATTTCCATTATTAATAAGCCAAAAACGTATATTATCTAAACCAATTGAAATACATCTTGTTGAATCATATGGTACAAAACGTATATGTGTTGTTGATGCATCTGTTGTTGTACGACATAATAATTCAATTGAACCTTTATGAGCATTTAATGTACTATAAACACAACCAACAGTACGAGATTGTTAAGGTTGTTCACCATGACCAACAATAACAAGAGTTAAAGGTGAATCAGTTAAGTTTCGAATATCAAAATCAAGTGCATGTAAATTACATGTACCTGATACACGAACAACACAAATACAACGACGTATTTCAAATTTCCATAAATGAAGAATATCTTAGATAGCAAAAAGAATTTATCAAATATTTAAGAAAATTTTATTTTTTACCATTTGGTCCAACTTGTGTTGTTGCTAATAATGAAGAATTTCCATTAAATGCAATAGCACTACCTTTATCAGTATGTCCAATAAAAAATAATTGTTGTTGAGTATCAATATGCATTTGAATAACAATTTCGTTTGATGGATATAAAATATAATTTCCATCTTGTGTCCATAATAAATTTGTAAAACTTCCTAAACTGATCACTGTACGTAAACGAAGTATTGGATCAAGTAAATGAGATGATTGAGAACGATCAGTTGAAAGAGTTAAACCATTATTAGGATTAACAAATAAATGAATACCATCATCACTATTACATGATGATTCGGATGGAAATGAAGATTCATGCATAGTTGGTAATTATGAAATTGATCTTTATCTATTAATTGTTAAATCAATTGCATTTTGATTTATTTCTCTTGATGTTTGTAAATGAACATTATTAACTACTTGGGGTAGTCCAAAAGTTCTGAACCTAAAAGTGAGAGTCAATCCCCACCTTCGAAATCAGAACTTTTGGTCAACTTAAGTATACCACAAGATGCAGCATGAAAAGATCTACAATCTATAAAGTAAAGCTTATCTTAATTGTATAGTTTTTGTTTTCACAAAACAGTAAGATTCTCTGCGACCAATTTTTGTCGGTGCGAAAAGATCATTTTTGTGAAACACGACCTAAAAGGAGTGTTGACGTGTAGGAGTAGAAATTTTGGACCCACTCCCCCGCCCCTCCCCCCCCCCCACTGACGTGACAGACATTTTAATTAATTACCCATTCCAGGCCGTGACAGACAGATTAATTAATTAAATAATTACTATCTAATTCATTAATTGCCCATCACAGATCGTGACAGACCGACTCCAGGGACTATCGCAGACAGTGACAGGCGGACTTCAGGAGCCATTACAGTGCATGGCAGATGGCTTCAAGGGACTATGAGAGATCATGTATAACTATGATCTACTTGAAACATGCATGAAGTTCTTTCTTGCTGAAGTTCTCTACTGTAAAGTAATCAATGATGAATAAATATGCCCCAATATAGATAAAAAAGAGCAGTTTTTAGGGGATTAGCAATAACAGCTACATCGTGTTTCACATTTCAATCCCGTAGGAATTGCGCGACACAGCTTTTTTTAGGGGATCTCTCTTTTAGTATATTCAATAAAATTTAATGTCGGCACGTTACGAACAAGCTCGATCTGATTCTAGTTCACGAAACTCCTTAATTTTTCTTAATTATTTTAACTTGGAAAAATGATCAGATATTTATTTTCAACCTTTCACGTCACCCTTTATATTGATGAATAATCTCTCAAATTCTTCGCACAATGTACTGATGACGTATGTGATGCACGAACATATGGTAATGAATGTCATGGATAGTAATTATTTCATGCATCTTGGAATGACAGTCGAACTAAAATCAACGAAAAACACTTTATTTTCACTCTTAAATATTTATTGATCAATTAATACTTCAAAAAAAACAAGAATTTCATGTATGAAATAAATTTAAAAAGAAATTTTCCAATTAAAATATTCGATAGAAAGATAATCTTTTCCGAAGTCAGGGAAATAAAATAAAAATAATGTGCCCACGACGAGTAATCCGACAGATTCCTATCGGAAGATACAGGAAGTTGTCGGAAAACGTTGGAATCCCATGCAAACCTGTTGAATTTATAGCTCAACATTAGTTATCTTATGACCTTTCTCTCCCTCCCCCCCCCCCCCCCCCTCAAGCTTCTTGTCTTTCCTCAGTTGGCTCGAATTTAGTTTATTTTAAATTTTATTAAATACGATTGAATCAACGTAGGATATCTTGGAGCTGGATTCGAGTATTCCGCAACTGGATTCGCCTGTAGGTTCTACCAAATTTTAAGAAGGCTATACCAAGATAGAACTCGGCGAGCTCTATCGAATGGACATCTTTCCGACTCGATTCGACCTTTGAATCCCCTCCGAAATGGCAAATCCCGGTCAGAAGCTGGAGTTTCGCTGTATTTCGAACCTGGATTCGTCTACAGGTTATACCAAAAACTAATAATGGTATATCAAGATAGACCTTGATGAGTTCTATCGAATATGCACCTTTTCGGCTTCATCCGACCTTTCAATCCCTTCTGAAAGGGCAAATCCATGTCTCAATTCTACAATCATTGATATAATATTGCTTTTGCATTGTCTTTCTAACGAAGATTCAAAACAAAAGAGTAACAAATTATTTTTTCCTCGAATAAAATTGTTAGATAATTTTTAGTTCAACTTTGCATAATTTTCACATGTTTATCTAGGTTTTTGTTATTGTGTACATCGCGTTGAATTTCAAGTATTCTTGCTGACAGGAAGATAGCGACATCTTTCTTTCTTTTATTTCGTTTTTATTTTCATGAAGCATGGTGTGTGGAGAGAAAGAGAAGAAAAATTGTTCGTGAAAAATCTCTAATCATGATGGAGGAGAATGAGAGAAAGAAAGAAAACATTTTTCTATTGATCGCGTTCATCAACCTGTTGTTAGTCATCGATATAGTTATCGACAGGAGAGCTTCCTCACCACACACCATGCTTCATGAAAATAAAAACGAAATAAAAATAGAAAGATGTCGCCATCTTCCTGTCAGCACGAGGACTTGAAATTCAAAGCGGCGTGCACAATAAGAAAAACCTAAAGAAACATGTGATACACATGCAAGGTTGAACTAAAAATTATCTAACAATTTTATTGAAGGAAAAAAAAATTTTACTGCTTTGTTTTGAATCTTCGTTACAACGACAAAGAAAAAGCAGTATTATATCAATGATTGTAGAATTGAGACATGGATTTGCCCTTTAGGAGGGTACCCAAGCATCAAATCGGGTCGGAAAGATGTCGATTCGATAGAAATTCACAAGTTCTATCTTGGTATACCATTATCGAATTATGGTATAACCTATAGGCGAATCCAGGTGCGAAATACAGTGAAAATCCGGATTCGGGCCGGGATTTGCCCTTTCGGAGGGGATCCAAAGGCCCAATCGAGTCGCAAAGATCTCCATTCGACAGATCTCATCGAGCTCTACCGCAGTATACCATTATCAGGTTTTGGTATTACCTGTAGACGAATCCAGGTGCGAGATACAGTGAAAATCCGAATTCGGGCCGAGATTTGCCATTTCGGAGCGGATCCAAAGGTCCAATCGAGTCGCAAATATCTCCATTCGACAGATCTCATCGAATTCTACCGCGGTATACCATTATCAGTTTTTGGTATTACCTGTAGACGAATCCAGGTGCGAAATACAGCGAAAATCCTGATTCAGGCCGGGATTTGCACTTTCGGAGGGGATTGAATGGTCGAATGAAGTCGAAAAGGTGCCAATTCGATAGAGCGCATCGAGGTCTATCTTGGTATACCATTATCAGTTTTTGGTATAACCTATAGGCGAATCGTGGTGCGCTATACGGAAAATGCTTCTTTTTTAGCTCATTTTTTGTCAGTATTTTGGTTTATTTTCCATGAAGGATGGATTTTGGATAAAAAGTAAATAGTGGAATCGATAAAGCTCGTCGAGATCTATCTTGGTATAGCCTTCTTAAAGTTTGGTTTAACCTACAGGCGAATCCAGTTGCGGAATACTCGAATCCAGCTCCAAGGTATCCTACCTGATTGAATTGACTGAAAATTAGCGTAAACTATAGAAATTTTATATCGTTTTATTTTTATATCAAATAAAATGATGAATTGTTCAATAGACCATGCTAGCTGTTTCTATACGTGTTCATTGACAGAAAGAAAAAACTTTTATCGGAATAAAAGCATGAGACATAGCGAAATAAATTCTAGCAACACCTACTCTTACTTCCGATGTGTCATAGTGGCAACTGTTCATCGAGAGTGATCTGTGGAATTTGATGCACCTTCGCGTGAGAAATTGAAATACTTATAGGAAGTACAAATTAAAACATCTTTACCAGATAAAACGTACTTTTTCTGCAAGATGATCATCTGATCAAAAGAAATTCTGGAATATAGACCTGTTTAATGATATTTGGCAACTTTTTTTTATATGTAAAAAGCAAAGTAGAGAGAAAAGAATTATATATTAATTAAAATTTGATTTTTATTAGTCTTAAGATTGTTATTAAAAAAGAAATATCGTGTTAATTAAATGTTTCTTAAAATATGACTCTTGCATAAAGATTTGTCTTAGCGTATATTTTTGGAAATTCTACTTTTCAATATTGATGCATAGGAGTGTCCCAAAATCGTCAGAATTGGAAGAGGATCAATGACTCAAGTGGTTGCCTGAGAAATTTTTGCTAAAGTCCGTTGGATTTCGGGCGGAGTTGAACGATTTTTCGAGGATTGGTGAGCAGTAACCACAATATGATATTGGAATTATCTTGAAGAAAAACGAAAATGTTTCATGACTGGGGGATCACTCCGCCTTACTTGAAACACCTTCATTGGTACAAAATATTAACGATGACTATCTCATTACAGAATGCATATGAATGACGTTTTTTTCTATTCAATTCAATGATTTCTATGATAAATCTAAAGAAGACTTTGAAAACTGTTTTTCTAGAACTAATAAATAAAAGTTGAACTTATACAGGGTATATCAAAATTATAGCCCCCCCTTTGTCATTGTTTTGTTTCTATGAAAACGAATAGCTGGATCAAATGTAAATAGTGATTCTGATAGCTCTCGAAGTTCTCTATCGAATGCAGTATATTTGAGACTTTTTAAGGTGACTTCGTTATGTAATGTTTTTGAAACTACGCAAGACCCCATTTTTGACTTTTCGAAGGGCATGTCAGACAACATTTTCAATGTATGCATCGGATAGAGCTAAAAATTCTGAGCAAAATGAGTGGTCGTATGGCTCTGGGTCACTTTCNTAGGACCCCCATTTATATATATGGTCATTTTTAGGCCTTTTCGTAAAACGCTCATAAAAAATTGAAGGTTCAATATTTTTTGAATCGGCTTGCGTCAAAAATCATAAAACTCTTCCCTCTATAACATATCTTAAATTGAGCAAGTTCTGATGATATCGATTGAGCAACTTCGGTCGTGGCTTACGTGGACTGGCTCATAGACAGAAGCTTTAGTAAGCGATTTCATAGAATTCTCATTATATTTTTCAAAGAGAAAAATAGTTAATTGTTAGTTTCAAGTCAAAATTTTGCGACTTCTCTCTTATAGCAACGAGAAAAGGCGCTAAACAACAAGGCTTAAACTGCTCTAGAACATTCCAAAGTCTTTCTTCTCAAAATTTCAATAGTTAGAATATGTTTGTCAATATCGAATAAAATTTTTTATAACCTCAATATTATCTACTAAACTTACGTAATTTCAGCTGATATAATCGATGTATTCAATTCAAAAACTTTAATAGTTCCATTATCAAAACCACAAGCAAATGTTTGTCGATTTGGTGCATATGTTACAATTACGGGTGTTTCACGTTCAGCAGTAAATTCAGATAATTGTTTACCAGTACGAAAACACCATATTCGTATAGTTCCATCTTGTCCAACACTAATCATTTGTTTTCTTGTATCATCATAATCAATATCTGTTACATATTGTGTATGTGCACGTATTAAATTTATATGTTCTTTATTAACAAGATTTAATATTCCAAGTGTACCATATACAGTTGAAATTAATACACGTGTTTGATCATGTGATGTCATTAAACCACATATAGCTTGATCATGTTTAGCTTCAATATAAACATGAGTAAAATCATTTGACCAAACTCGAACATATCCATCATTAGAACCAGTTATAGAAAAATTACTTGTACATGTAAATGCACATATACCAATTGATGGTCCATTAGCCATTGTTATTTTATCAGTTGAACCATTTGAACGTTTTATTGGTAATAAACGATGAATTTTAATAATACGTCTTTCATCATATAATAATTCAAGTATATGACCACTTTTTGATGATATATAAACAATTAATTCATTTAATTTATTATTTGATAAATGTTCAAATTGTAAATCTGTATATTCTAATTGATCAATATCATCAACAGATATACTCATAGATTTTAAATCATTACCATTTTTAATACGCCAAAAACGTATATTATCCAAACCAATTGAAAGAAATCTTGTTGAATCATATGGAACAAAACGTATATGTGTTATTGAAGCATCTGTTGTTGTTTTACATATTAATTCAATTGAACCTTTAGATGCATTTAATGTATTATAAACACAAACGACAGTACGTGATTGTTGTGGTTGTTCACCATAACCAACAACAACAAGTGTTGAAGAAGAATCTGATAAATTTCGAATACCAAAATCAAGTGCATGTAAATTACATGTACCTGGTACACGAACAACACAAATACAACGACGAGTTTCGAATTTCCATAAACGAAGAATACCTAAAATTGAATAAAGCTGTTACTATAATCCTTGTGAAATCTTAAGAAGTCTTTAAGCTATTATTTTTTCTCATATGATTTCATTCATGATAATTATTTTAATGATCTGTATTAACAATAAGGCATAAAACCGTATGTTTCAAAATATATTATTTCCTGTGTTAGAATAGATAGTAATTATTTTCCAGATTTTTGGTCAAGAAACTCATCTTTCCCTTCCCTCCCCCGAAATCCAAAAAAAGTATTGTGAAAACTTTTTTTGAATTTCTTTTTTACTTTTCAATATTCAACGTATTGAAAAATGCATACTACACGAGATTCTGATTTCGGTCTGTCTTTCTACCAGATCATCTAAACTGAACATTTTCGGTAATATATTGAAGGATTTTATTCATTTAATAATGAAATTTGGAACTGATTTTGTTTGAAAATTTTCATTTCAAGAAATAGAATCTATACAAAATATCGATGAATTGATTGAAACAAGATCAAATGTAATTAGATTCTATGAGATGACGAAAGAGAAAATAGAAGATTTTGAAGCTCATACATTGAAGATGAATTAATAAGTTTATCGTGCGTATTTTTTCTGTTAAGTGAACGAAAAGAGGATTGTAACAGTCTTATGTTTTTCAGACTACATTTCTAAAGACTGTGTTCTACTTTTTTTTTTTAACTAGTTAGATACGGTCGTCGGAACTTAGATCTCGCTCTAATCAAAGTGATGTTCGATCGTGTTTTACAAAAGAATGCATTTCAATATTTAATAAAAATTTGTGTTTTTTTTGTTTTACCATTTGGTCCAGTTTGTGTTGTTGCTAATAATGAAGAATTTCCATTAAATGCAATAGCACTAACTTTATCTGTATGTCCAACAAAAAACCATTGTTGTTGAGTTTCAACATTCATTTGAACGACAATAGCATTTGATGGATAAAGTATATAATTACCATCTTGTGTCCATAATAAATTTGTTGAATTACTTATACGATTACCTAAACCAATAACAGTACGTAAACGAAGTATTGGATCAGGTAAATGAGATAGTTGAGAACGATCAGTTGTAAGAGCAACATCAAAATTAAAATCATCATGAATTGAATTAGTCGATGGAATTGATTGTGGATTAACAAAAAGATGAATACCATCATCATTATGATGTGATGATGAAGTCAAAGGTAACGAAGATTCATGCATTGTAGGTAATGATGGAAAACCATCGACAGAAGTAATATTTGTTTGCCAATTATTCTAAATAAAAGATCATATGATAAAAAGACATGATTATTAATTTTAACTAACAAACAGAAACTAAACTATTTGTTACAATATGTTATCAATACAGTTCAACTTCGACTCCATCGAATTTACATTAGTGAAAACAAGTAGCGCAAAAAGAAGTATGTTATCCTAGTCAAAAAAAGAATTGTGAAGTTGGAGTCGAAAAAGTAGACTCTATAGGGTTCTAGTTAGCAATGAGTCAAAAAATGAGGCATAATCATTTCTATGTTGAATATTTAAATGACAAATTACGAAACCGATAATATGGCTACTTCTATTCTTTTTGTTTTTGGATTTCTAGGTCTTAACGAGTAGAGCAAATGGTGTCGTTCCGGATGTTGTCTTCTATGAGATATTGAGATTACAATGGCCACAACCTGTTTATCTAAGACATTATTATTGATCAAGCTGAACATTTTTTTTCCGAGCACCAGATAACGTTAGAGGTGGATATCTTTTTATTTTTGTCTTGTGAATAAAAAAAGCGAAAGCATTGAAGGTATCATAAAAGCTACATGTTTCTTTGATAAGAGCTATCAAACATGAGCGGAACAATAAAAAAAAAATATCCATCCTAAACAGTGTATAGTATATGAGAAAAAAGTTTCTGCACTTAGAAAAATGTACATTTTTCTATATTTTAATTTTTTTCTCGAATTTTTAAACGTTTAAAGACAGTTTTTTAGATATTCAATACGATGACCACAAAAATTATGAGCCACGGAATGAACATAGTGAGGAATAACATAGAAATTAGATGAAAAAATGTGCGCGAGCTTTTTCGAGATGTGAATAGTAACTTATACACTTCGATTAAAGACCAGTTTTTTGATAAAAAAAAATGTTGTTCTAGCTGATAAGTTCATTGGAAAAATTTAGTGACTAGAGAAAGACATAATTTTTTTTTTTGAAAAATAAATCATACATAGTCTGAAACTTGAACTTCTGATTGATTAAAAAAAAAAAGTTCTCGTTTTGAAAAAAAATAATTATTCGTTTTCCGTAAAGTTGGTCGCCGCTGTAAATTCTTCTGGACTAAAATAAAGCTTTTTTGAGGACTCCTTTGCCGCACAAGTACTTTGACAGAAATTTAGGTAAAGAGTTTTCTTCAGGGATTCTACATGGTCAATAGTCTTTTATTTTTCATAGAAAAATAAATTATCTCCATGTGTTCGATAGAAATTGCCGATTGTGAAGGAGTATCCTTTTATGAAATACCTGATTATCTCTTGGTGAAATTGTATTTTGTGTATTAATTGCTGAATTTATTAATGATTGACTAATTGATTCATCATTTATATTTAATTCTCTTGATGTTTGTATATGAACATTTCCAATTGTATTCAATGTTTCATTTGAATTCTGATCGATTAATGATGGTGATGATGATGAATTTGGTATCATGATAAAATCATATTTATCATGCCATGATTCATCTTTACCAATAGGAAATGATAATTCACGTGGTAATGAACGAATACAAGATAGTTTTGAGCCATTTTGTTTTATTTTATGATTACATGATCCAGGTTCATAGAAAAATTGAGATGAAAAACAATTTTTAACCATCATATTTCCACATAATTGAAATGATTTAATCATATGATAATGTTGATTTGTCATATAAGTTAATAATATTGATTCTAAATCAAAACATAACATTGTCCAATGTATATTTGTATTTGTTGATGTATATGGAAATTGTATACATGTTTGTGTTGTTTTAAATTCACGAAATAAATTTGATAATGATATACGTACAACATGTTGTTCATGTGTGAGAATATCAATATGAATAGAAAAAAATTTATCATATATTGGTCGAAATAATACATAAAATAAATGACCTGTTAAGGCAAGATTTTGATTTGATATTTGTGCTGGGAATTGTATATAATTATTTGCTGGAACAAGACCACGTATACGAAATACAGTTGATTTTAAATCACGATCCTATTTATTAAAAAAAAAATGATTTCGTTTTTTATGAAAGATTTATCATACCATAAGAGCAGTAACATCGCCTTGTTTGGCACATTTTTTGGTTGAACCAATATCAAAATGTTTGAAAATATTGACATATGGATGCTGCCATGTACTGTTATTCATCTTGAGCGTATTTTTTTTTAAGATTAAAGATTGTCTTTTGTCTTTTATAATCCACCATGAGTAATGCACTGTGGAAAAGAGGTCACCTAGCAAGTCATAATCACAAGAGTGACATCTAGGATTTAAACTATAGAGGGATCATTAGACAATGTTAAATTATATTTGAAATAATTAGGGAACTGCAAAATCACTTTTTTTAGTCCCGGTCCCGGTCTTTGACATTGGCTTCATTCCTAAAATCGAACAATTTTTTTACGATCTATGTACTTTTATGAATACATAAAACTGACATGAATGATTTTGATTCGTTAACAGTACAAGAATTCTTTTATATCCAGTGTTAAAGTAAAAGAATTTCATTGAAAACTCGAATAAATAAAAATAACCATTGAATTTTGTTAAAAATTCTCATATACTTCGTAGGAGTCATTTACTCATTTCTCTCTTCTTTTATATCTACTGCTCTAGCTAATGGATTTATTATCGAATAGATTATTTATACTGAGTCGCCATTACTATTGTCAAAAAAATAAAATAAATGGCGACACATTGCATAAAAAACTGACCGGGACCAGTATGAAAAATTTTTAGTCCCGGTCCCGCCGGGACCGGGACCACTTTGCAGTTCCCTAGAAATAATGTGCTGAACAATAAACAAAAAAAATGAATTGTATGATATATAAGA